GGGGGGCAGGGGAGGGGGGAGTGAGTGGAGAGGTTCTTTAATTTGCTGCTTTTTCTTTTTTAAGTGAGGTGTTTCCAATATTTAATTCTCCACTTTCAAATAAAACTATGTTTACTTTAAATGCTACCGCATTTTTCTATACAGGCCTTCGGTATGAATCCAATTCGGTATTCAGTTTTTATTCAACAAACAGGAGGACGATTTTGTAATTTATGAGGCGTATAAAAGCAAGCACCTTTCCTCTTTGATTTCTTGAAAACGGCGCACCGAATGTGAAAAGGGTAATAACCTTTTCATTTGAAAGATTTTACCACCACGGTCTAACTCCTTCAAATAGGACAAAAACTATGAGTGTGCTCATAAATAGTGCGTATTTCGCCCGTTGCAAAAAAAGCCAGGACTTTTTTAAGGATACACAAATTTCAACGACGACGACAACAACAACAGAATGGAATTTAACAAAGTCTTGGATCGAGGGAGAGTAGAAAACTCAGTATCAAACAAAATCATGTTTTGTCAAGAGCTGGAAACACAGCTTTTAAAGAGAAAACTTCCCTTTTTCCAAATGTAAGAGAACCATCACTACAAAGATACAGAAAGTTGAGGTTGTAAAAAGTGAACTTTTCTCTGGAATCGGATCTTTGAAAAGGTCAATATGGCCAAGATTAGCCTAGTATTAAATAAAACTCTATGCTACGCTTTTAATCCAGAAAGAAGTACAAAAGACATGTTTCTGACATGTTTAGACGAACAATGGGTGCTTTTTTGTTTGTTTGTTTCATTCTTTTTTGTTTGTTTGTTTTTTGGGGTTGGATTTTTATATCTACTATTTCTACCTTTTAAAAAAATCGGTAAAGTGCTATCAAATCTTATCTATTATTATATCAGTACCAGAAAGACGAGGTTCGCTTAGCTCTCTAGCTGCTTCCCGAAACGAATTTGTTTTGCGTTTTGCGTTTTAACGAGCGCTAACTGCCCCCACCACCCCTTCCTTCCCCGTTGTAAACCACGATACCTGAGAGTTTATTTATTGTACAATAACTGTGTGGCATCGCGATGAAATCAGGCGCTCGTCAAAATAAGGAAATCAAAGAAATCTGTATTTTCGGCCCGTTTAGCAACTGTTATCGATTTTTTATTTTTCTGGCTCAACACCTTTTATCTCCGTTTAAACACACTTCTGTGTGAATTTTACAGAGAA